ATGAGCAAAATCTCATCGTTATAGAAAATATTTATCATTTTATTATATACATATTTAGATTTATCTCTACTTATCACTTAGATGCATCTTATTAAAAAAAATGTATTTTACAATTTTATAGTCGTTTAGTGAAACTAGTGGTGTTCTGACATTCAACTGATAATAATTTGAAAAAAAAAGTTTTATTTGTTGATAAATACTAACAATAAAAGGTGTCGAAAATTTAAACACTGCTGTATTCTATTTATTTTGCAACAGTTCAGAATAGCGAAATGTATTTTGGCCGTATTTTATTAGATATTTATCTACAAAAGTGTAAAATTTCATCATTTTAGTCATCCAAGAGGAGGCTGCGTTGTTTCAAGGTTAACTGTGAAGATCAATTCGTATACAACGAGATCCGGTTTTTTTGACAATTATTTGGAACAGTGGAAAATTTTCACTTAATTAATATAACTTGTAATAGAAGTAAACTGTCAGTTATATCTAAATAATTAAGAACCCTTATTACATGGAACCAATTATTAATGTAAAATTAACATTTATACACAGTATTTCTTTTGCAAAGAAAACATTTGTCTACATTTAACCTAGTTTATCGTTTCCTCCAAAAAAAGACAACATCTTAAAAATTAACTGCTGAAAAAATATAGTTGTCATCCAAATTCTTCGAGATGTGTGAGTGATGATTTAAACCCTTATGTTTTTTAGAGAAATAAAAATAAGATCTTTAGTGAAAAAAATAAAAAGAGAAGTTGAATTCTATTTAAATAGATCCACAAAAATTACAGGACATTGACAAATTATAATGCTTCATAAAATGCCTAAAATTTCTGTATATTATCGAGTTAATTTAAAATATTAAGTGTGCAATTAAAATTAAAAATTACGGAATAATTTTTAAATTAACATAGATCCTAATATTAATTTGTAATCAGGAGTGTAGCTATACGGTGACATCTACTACAAAAATAATATTGATGTGAACCCCCTAAAATTGAGTTAAAAACAAATCGTACACTGTGCTTCATTAATCTTTAATAAGTCAATGAAAACTATAAGAAAGATTTTTGCGGGAAGATGAATTTAAACATTTAAAAATCATTATAAAAATAAGACATATTTCCAGGTTCTAATTTTCTTTCTACTAAAAGGTTTGAAAAGTTAATTATTGCGGAAATCAGAAGGTAGATGAAGGTTCTTGAGGTTAAGCTGTAAAGAGTTGCTAGATTTAGTCCATTCCTTATGATTTAATTTTAAAGAGCTCTTTGTACTGATGAGTCCTAGTGAGGCTAACTACTGAGGCTTACTCATTGTGATTACTTTTATATATTTACAGTTTGTATTACTTTTGGAAAATATTTTCTATTTTAAGTGCACGCGTCGTTAGGACATTGTTTAAACAGTTATCTCTTGAATTTTCTGTAAAAAATAATGGTAGTGTTTGCTATGATTTATTACTACTTTAACTACGCCACTGCATACAGTCAATAACTTTTAGCCAAATAATGCATGTCAACAATAGGTTATGTAACATTTTATAAATTATTTTGTTAGTTGTTTCACAGTACAGTGTCAGGTTATACTAGGAATTTATTTAGTTTAGTAAGTAATTTACGGATGTATTAAAATCAGTGGTCAGACGGTACTTTACAAAATCAAAATCCGATAGTATGATTAAGAAGTTGAAGATCATCATTTTTTGTTTTCCATTAAAAACATATTTAAGGTGATTGATATGCTACATTGTTTTAGAATATATGGTGTGATTCAAAACTTATCCAAAAAAAATTAGGATGTAGGGAGACTATTACAAATACAATTTTGTAAAAAAAAATCAAAAAGGGCAGTTCGAAAATTATTTAAAAATACACTTCTGCACGGCACACTATGAACGATTGGAACTACTTTAGTGTCAAAATCATAGAACTCTGGATAGAAAAAATATAAAAAGGTTTAGCAAGCGGTATTTTAAACGTAAAGGAATTACCTTTTAGGGAAAAATATCGAAAATGCGCTCGATTTATTAGTCTGCTTTCAGGGAACGTTTAAACCTCGGGTTTTTCATTTTTTTTCGATTTTTTCGATTGTCACTATTTTCCCCTCATCTGACTATCAAAAATTTTGTTCAGAAAGTAGATTAATAAATCTTCAATTTCCATTTTGGTAAAATTTATTTGACCTATTATATCTTGAGTGATTGGCATTCGAAAAGTTCAGTGGTCATAAATTTAGTTTCTAACAGTGTTATATCAAATTAATTTGTCCGTTTTCATTTCGTTCATTTAAAAAAAAAAAATTATTAAAGTATACATTAAATGTTGGATAATTTATTAAAGTATTAGACTGAAATATACAAATGTTTAGTTTTTAAAGATTTTTTTGGACTTCACTTAATTTTTACTTAAAAGGTGTCTCAAAAAATCTAAATATTTCCTTATAACAAGGGATATTTATCCCGAGATTGAAGCATGAATGTGTTTTTAGGGGTAATAGTTTTAGAGAAAAGATAACCTGACCTTACCTCATAATCGAGTTCAAAATCTTTTTCTCTGAAATAACTGATTTAATGTATGATATAAATTATAAACTAGAGTTTTCTTCATACCGATTTGGATATAAGGATACTACATTTGGATTAAATCATTTTACAGATAAAATGGCTATATTGGGGAAAATGTATATTTCTGAGTATATTATTTTTATTTTTCTAATTTTGAGAATAGTTAGGATCATCCAATCTGCATGAATGCATTTTCTAGTCGAAGTCATACTTGACCTACAATTACCGTTCAATTAGAGACATTATATTACCCTGAAAAGTGAAGTCCCGTATAATTTAATTTATCACACAAACAAGAAAAAAGTTCCATGGAAAGTTTATAATTTCCAAAATTAAAATTGTTTACGGTGTTACAATTACAATAAATTCCTTGTAATTCGGTACAGAGATGTCCCTACTACGATAACTTAAAGTAAGATTAAAGAAATTTTGTGAATTCTCAAAGAAAACCTATTTATATTTACATGAGGAAATTTTTTATATTAGTGGGATCACTCTTGATCACTGTTATTAATTATTATTTGTTAATCGAAAATTAAGAAGGATTTAATAGAATTTTTAAAGAATTAGAAAAGATTTTCACACAAGTTACACTTTTCGTAATTCTTTATTAAATACTTGGCCATAATTGGATGTTGAAAATTAGAATAAAAATTGAAGGGACCTCTAGACTTGTGAATATTAGATTCAGTAGCTAAGTATCCAAATTATTGAAATAAAGACGGCCGTATTATCCCTTGGGTTTTGGCAAAAATTTCAAAAAGTGACAATGTTAATAGTTATTTACATTTCAAGTTAACAGACATTTTCAGTGACTTACATTTTTAAATTGAAATTGAAAAATTTTAAATTTTAAGTCATCGTAAACAAATATTTTGCATAAAATTCGAAGTATAAAAAATACTACGTAGTTATTTCTTATAAAAAAACTCCATAGTGATTTTCCAAAAATAATTAAAAAAAAATGAAAATCGCAGCATGTTGTGGTGTACCTATTGGATTATTGTAGTAGGTTTAGCAACTGTATGTGAAATTAAAATCTTGTAATTTAAAAACAATTTTGAAAAGATATCCTGATTTTTTATAGACAACACTAGATAATTATTAAAAGTGAGAAACTGCAATAACAATAGCAACACAAAAAAATAACAGAGAAATTACAGATGTTGTTGTCCTTTTTATAAAATAAATGGAGAAAATGAATATCTTTATATGGATTTGGTTAGCGCCTTTTGATTAGCTTGTAAGTTTTTTCCACAGAAATAAGACAAAAAAGAAGTTACGTACTAATGCCGACTTTTCTCGAAAAAAATGATTGTATATCATTTAATGATGGATATCGACCTTGCAAATGATTATACAATTAATCATGCTGTTATAAAAGTTGTAATAATATTTAATTGTGCAATATTCTATAATTTGGATATCTAGGTCACATCGATTCTAATTGAAATTTATTACATAAACACACGATATGGGAAATACAGAAAATCGTAACGAATTGGGCAATTTCATAGAATGGCCAAAGTGACTAGTCGATTTCTAAAATAAATTGCTGATTTATCAACAGGTCTGTTGTAAAAAAAAATCTATTTTATCTTTGTTCTATATAAATAATTTCGAAATTTTCACCAAATACATTGATAATAATTCAACCCTATTTTAAAATTAAAATAATATAGTACACATATTTGCAACATATCATTTAAAACATAGTAGAAGTTGAATAAACAAGTTATGGATTTATATAAATCCTAGAGAGCTTAATATAAATTTGTGTTATACAAGGATTGATAAAAATAATGCCAAAGAATACAAAAATTATTTATGCATACAGGGTGTCATGGGATTGATAAAAACGGATTGATATTTAGAACACGGTAAAGTTGAAAACTTATATAGTATTTAATCCCCGTACACCCTGTGTAATAACAATTAAAGTAAAAATAGCAAGTAAATTTTTTTGACCTAATAAATGCTTTCTAGGGAAATTTAATAGAAGGTTATGATATGCTCATATGATGGTTTCTATATGGATCAACATTCTTGGGGTAGTACAATATTAGCGAACGTCTCTTAATAAGTCCTTGGACAATGCTTGAAGGCTACTAGAAGGATGTACCTACTATACTGTAACTTTCACCACGCGCGTTGTTAATTATGAGATGAACAGTTGTTACGAGTTTCGGAAACAGCAGAACATTTTTCTTTTTACTTGATACCACATAGGTACAATAATTATTACCGTGACCACCGTATAATTTATAATCGCTCCAGGGTATCAATTAGCGAATCTATTATACATATACGCAGTTTTTTAGAACTAGTAATTTCGCCATAAAATGAAATTATTGTTTTGAACTCTTCACAGTTGTTAAATAATTAAATTATAAAGCAGAATAATTTTTATATCCGATAAAAACGCACATCAACTTACCGGAGGCGTTGACCCGTGAACTTATCATCAACAAAAAGCCGATGATACTTCTGGACAGGAACCACTGACTCTGCATTTTGTTCCTCCACTACACATTCGTTACAAGTTAAATCTGAAGTATGCTTGCTCTTATATTATGTTATATAAAAAAGATTTTAATCACCACGGGGAAGTACTATGGAGTGACAGGAGAAATGGTCTATAAATTATTGCCTATTTGACGTATATTTTGCCGATTCTGTAGTAGGGGTTTATCGGTATCAGCTCCTTTGGAGATTTTATTCTATTTACAAATTTGTATTTTCAATTGTTTGTGACAGTACGAGATGGATTAAGTTCTTATACAAATACAGTTTAATCCCTCAACTTTTTCCCACGATTTAATATAAATGATTACTTTTTATTAGTTACAACCCAACTCCAAAATTTGAGGAATAGTTGTAGGTATACAATTAAAAGTAAATTTATTTCCGTTTTCAATTGATAAAAAAATATATTAATATTTATATTTAAATAACAAATAAATAATTATTTTTTAAATAATCCTCGGCATAAAACAATAAAATTTAATTTTAATAAAAATAAAATAAAACTTTTGAAGTAAGATTCATAACTGATTTATATCCTATAGGGTCTTCTCTTTTTAAAAGTACTAACTTTAACAGTTCATAGAGAACTTGATTTTGAATGAAAACAAGAAAGTTCATATGAACATAGGTCGTAAGTAGTTTCCATACCTAGATATAGGGTGTCGAATTTAATTTAATTTTATCTTTTTATCACCGTATTTAAAAAACAGCAAGTTATAACGAAACCAAAAAATAATGTTCACTAAAAATGACTTGCTAGATGGATATTACTTTTTTAAAAAAATAATTTCTACGTTTATGGATTATTTAGAAGTTTTATGATATTTTTCAAACCGCTGATCAATTTTAAATAAAATTAGTTGTCAAGTGCACAAATAAGTAACTGTCAGTGTTACATTGTAAATAAAATGTAAGGGCGGAGGAGGTTCTGTATCACGACTTGAACGGTCGCCTGACATTAATCCCCTTGATTATTTTATCTGGAGTCATATGAAACAGCAGGAAGGTCATTATTGCGTAGATGCCAGTTATGTGTTAAGCAGAAGACTTCTAATTTGTACATCTACTTTATTTTTTCTGTTTATTGCTATATTGTCCTGTAGTTACAGTTTGTTTTTAAATAAATAACACCTTAATAAATTTATCTTTATAGATGTCATAATAAATATTTTTCAGTTCAATTAGAATTTTGTGTAAGTGCACTAAAAGGGTTTCATTCTATGTATTCAGAACCGTTTTATTTTGACAGTTTTACAAGAACAGCTTTTCGTTTAAAATTGATCAGCGACGTTAAAAACGTCACGAAATTGAAAAAACACATAGGCATAAAAATTCTATTTAAATAAAGGGCATTGATTACCTGTCTACCACGCCACTAAACGTTGTAGTGAATCCTTTGTAGGAGACATTATGTCGCCACAATACATACTCAATATTTCTATTATACTGTTATTTTAGAAAGTGTTTTTAAATTATCTAAAATTATTTTTATTCTGTATCTTTTGTTCATAGAAAAATTTTTGGAATGAAGCCAATTCAAATTAATCATAAAAAATTTAAAATTTTAATCAAATCCAGAAATAACCCTACAAATTATCATAATAATTATTATTTAAAATAAAATTAGTTAATAATTCATTCGAATAGTACTAACGGAAAACATGTACTTGATATACCAGGTATGTCGTAAACATGTATGTCTGATATACAAGGTATGTGACATATACAAGTACCTATATGTCATAGTTTCAGGAGATTGTCGCTATGGCTATTTTAAACCAATAAGCTGAGTTGGTTGATTAAAGCCAATGATTTACAACATGCAGGGTGTCTAAATTTGAATAATATCACATTTATTCAAATATCTCTCAATATGTTTTGTTTTATGAAACTTACGTAAAGGTTCAGATAATTACAGGTATAAATTCACTAATTGGTACAGTTCATACAATATTTGTTAAGATAGAATTCCAAGAAAAGAATAAGCCAATAAAGTTCTGTTACAATTTACCGCGGCAGAGGCGTGCCTTGAAATTTTCTGCGTTATTTTCAGAATATTAAAATAACTCGATACTCTCCTATTGAAAATGCACAGCATGGTACACTTACGAAGAAAAACGCCTTCGTATCTGCAAAACACAGTATGCACTGCAAACTGCTATTGTGAACGCCACGCCGCCAATGCCTTTCTACCTGGGGTGCCGAATGTGGTTAATTTCAAGAAAGTGACGCAGGGTATTCTTGGAATTCTATTTAAACAAATATCGTATGGACTGTATAAAGGTGGCCGAGTTTTATTCTATTTGATTTTGGCAGCGGATATAATAAGAAATAATAATAGTACCTTGTCTTATAAACTTATTTCGACATCTCAATTATTTTCATGATTTCTGTATTAAAAGTTCCAAAAGAAATTCATTTAGGTACTGTAAATATCCTTTCAAATAATAGATATTCGAACTAAATTTGGTGTACGTTATATTGGGTCAAATATCAAGACTGTTGTGGAACCAATGGCGAAGATACTATGGCAGACACTCCTTAATACGAATTACGATACCACTGAATATTTTGTAAATTCGAGTTCATTTGATTCTCAACTGTATTTCAAAGAAAAATATGTCTTACATTTTATACGGCAAACAAATAATTTATTATTATTTTTTTAAGTGCATAATAAACTTACTTCACAGTTGAATAAAAAGAAAATAACTATAAAATTATTCGTTTCATAAAAAGTTTATAGGAATCGTTAAATCGTTAATAATAATTAAAAAACATTGGCGACGAAATTTGAAATTTTCTTATGGATAGTAAGGGGTACATCACTTTAATAAATCCATTGTATTTATACCCTGTCAATTAGTGTTGAAGATACCTATTGGAAGTCAGCCAGAGGTCAATAATTTCGACTGGACATTTTTTAATTTTAATTTTTTTTAAATTAATTTGAAAGGTATTAAACTAATCCAAATAAATAAATTAAAAAGATATCTACTAATAAAATATATGTTTTTTAAAATTCACTGGATATTTTGGAAATAAAATAAGTGCACTTTATCAGTAATGTTATTTCTAAGAAAAAAGGAATGTTTCAGTTCATCCCAAAAACAACGGGCCGTTGTGGTTTTTTTGTATGAGTTGGGGAATAAGTAATGTCCGATGTTTTTCAAATTTACGATATTTTCGTAACATACATACATACAAAAATACAAATCTTTCCTCTTTATAATATTAGTATAGATAGTATAGATAGTATAGATATAGAAGTGTTATAGATAATAACTTTTAAACGTTGAAATTATGAAATTACAGTAATCTACATACATTTTGGAATGGTAAAATTACCCTGGCGTAACATATTTTTCTTCAAAAATATTCAATACAAAACCTGTACAGACGCCACTGGCAAAAATAATAAAATTGTTTGTACATCAGAAAATGCATCTTGATGAATAGAAGGCGTGTACTAAATTTGAAAAAATATCTATGGTAGGTAATATCAAAGTTATCATAAAAAAATGTTTTTTCATAAAACTTTAGCACCCTGTAGTTCAAAAGTTAAGACTTTTAGGACATATGTTCATATGAGGTTTTTTTCTTAAAATGGACCCAAAAATAACCTCCTTAAATATTAGCACGTTATTAAGAAACACCCTGTATATGTATTTCTTTAAGTTAGTTATTAAGCTTAATAAAACAAAAAAAATGTCGAAATTCGTAGCATCCTCGAATATAGCAGAAGACACATTTTTCTCATAAATAACAAAGAATCGAATGCCCTTATCTAATTTCCAAAATACCGAAATTTTGGATTTCTTCTTATGTTATGTTCGACAGGTTTGTAAAGTTCAGTAAAATTTTTTTCTTAACGGCGATAAATTATTAGCCAAAGTTTTATTAATCTAGACGTTTTCAAAAATATTTCAATAAATGTTATATTTTTTCAAATTTCAGTACCCTTGTTCATTAAGACTTTTTTTGGTTTAAAATAATTCAATGAACCACTAATGTTATGCCATGGATTTAGAAAATTTGTCCTGTATATTGAAATCATAAAGTAATGGTGCAAACCTTCAAATAAATTATCTATTTTTGTTTGTAAATAAATCGGTCTGAGTGAGAGCTGAGTAAATCCGTTGAAAGAAATTATTGAATACATTTTCAGTCGATATTGGGCGTATAGATAATTTTACACATTTTTGATATTTGAACTAAAACTGATAGTTTAACAATTAATTAACCACGACAGATTAGTTGAAGTATATCTACATTTTAGGATGGCTTTTCCAAATGGCCCCTTTTAAATATTAAATTGATAGATATAAAATTACATATAAAGTTATTAGGTTTAATTAAATCAATTAAAGAAAAAATGCAAGAGTTAATGCTTAAAAAAGTATAATAGAAAGAATAAAACGGGATATTAAAACCAATTATATTATTTAGAATCTATTTATCTTTATCTTAGAGCTATTTAAATAAAATACATATAATTAGTAGGTCTGCTATTCATTTAATAGGATAGTAAGAAAACAATATATCAGCGCGATTCTATTGGGACTGTATGGCCAAAATATTTGCAAGCATTTGATTTAAGGACAGAAATATAAATAATACACATATAATACCCCATAATAACTTCTCAGTCGCTTTTTATTTAATAGTCGTAACGTCATTTTCAGTGGCAATATCATCACACGACAAACTGCGTAATCATTATCTATTTTGTGTTATTTTTAATGTAGTCTAAGCTGCGTATGACTCATAATTAGGGAACCACCTTAAAAGTTGTTTTTCACAATTTCCTGATTACGTCCCGCAAGTCAAAACGTGCGCATTTTAAATGGTTATGTATCTATGCAGTCATAGATAAGGAACAATTAAATATTTATGAAAAATAATTAAAATTCAAATTAACATACTACTTTCACATTTTTAAAATTACTTACTCATTTTAATTATCGTAATTGGTACCCAGCAGATTATTACAGAAACGGAATTATAGAAATATGGTTACCAGGACATTTGGAA